TTAAAGGGACACTGTCAATGGATGACATGCGCAGTAACAGTCTCACCTCTAACGGACTTTGAAAGTATTACCTTCGAGGTAAATCATTTTGTGGTGCTTTTGACACACTTTGGAATATTCTAGATCTGTTTACGTTTACGAGCTGATTTATGTCGCGTCAACTTGGAGTCATAAACTTGAAAACACTAGCCTAATGTATTCAAGTTTACTCGCGCATGCGTGCCATTGACAGTGTCCCTTTACAGTTTAAGAACATAACCACATCACAAGACAAATATTTTTACTTACTATACTCAATTAGAAGTATGTTGTCTACGAGGCGATTTTCAGTTATCGAAATCCTAGTCGACCCCTGACTCCCTGATCCATCGTACAAAAGTGATCCCGTCAACAACAAAAATGTCTTTTCATGTTAGGTCACAGAACTAAAAGTTAATGCCCTCCCTACAAAAGTATCAAAAATATACTTATTCATATACTTATCACGAAACGTTAACTATAACCGTTTCCAAATTATTATTATTAAAACAACATACGGCTTTGTATTGTTACAGTTATGTTTAGAAAAAAGAATTGATTTGTAATTTTTGCAACATTTAAATCATGTAAATTTAAATTAGTTAACAATAGTTAAAAATTGTGAACTTTGACAATACCTGTAATCAATCAGGTCATGTTAATATTATAGTATATTGTAATTAAAACGATTCCCAGCAGAGCAGCAAATTGCGCAAACACCAGATGTGTTATATYATTGAGAAAATTGGTTGGCTCTAGGCCTCCTGCTTCCTATGGCCGAACCCCGGCGTTGGAATCTCTTCAACAAAATTAGACATTTTCAACATCAATATTTGGGTTATTTTGGGGATTTATATTCTCGTTTTATTTGTTATAAATATTATTTAAGGACAAAACAACTTAGTTGGGTTGCCTGTGAAACGCCGCGGGCATGTACTCCAACATGGCTGTACTCCAACATGGCGGATTATACTTCAAAGGTCTGAGAAGAATGCAAAATTGACTACTTTCGATCTTTTTCTAAAATAATACACTTACGCTCACTCGTGAGAGATCTTTTCAACACTCGAAGATAAAATCCGTATCT